AAAGCAAGGGACCTGAGTAAGACTGGAAGTAGCATGTTCCAAATACCCTTCAATACACAGTTATACTTAAAACTCATGTAGGTTCTATTGCCACATCAATTATGTTGAAGTAGTAAGTGGAGTAAAAAGAGAAAGGTTTTTATTGTAACCAGAAATTTAGCATAGGTGGTAACGGATAGAAACTATTTAGGCGTCCATTCAAGGAAGAAAAGGAGAGCCCTGAGTCATGTACGTTAGTCATATACTTGCTTAATGATTTTTGTTTTGAAGGAATAATAACATAGTATGACATGCCCCAATGGGAACATAGTTAAATTTTGTTCAAATGCATAGCAAGAAACATCTTGCAAATGATCGATTTATGCCCAGTTCTGAGGAAGGGTCACCGGACCCGAAAGGTTAACTCTGTTTTTTCCTTCACAGATGCTGCCAGACCTGCTGAGCCTCTCCAGAAACTTTGCTTTTGTTTCTGGAAAAGAGGAGATGCATTTTAACTGCTGTACTGTTTGAATTCATACTAGCACTGAGTCACCCCCAAGGACAGCACAACACAGCAGACCACAAGGTTCTCTGTTGCAACAGTGAAGGCATTACTACAGGAGACTGAAACAAAGAAAGAAATCCTCTATCTACAGGGAGCCTTCAGATATAATGAAGGTAATGGGAGCAGGGAGACACTGGAACCAATGCCAGTCCCAAGAACCTGGATGTAGTGCTGTGAGAACTTCAATAACCTCATCTAAGTGGTCAGGGTCAGAGAATGCATTTTCAAATGTAACATTCCAGCAACTGCACAAGTCTCAAACACTGCTCAATGAAACACCTCCATTTCCAACAATCATTACCAATCAACAATTAAATCCCTCAGCGATATCTTCACCCTCACTCTTGCACCATTCTCACTGCTGCAAACCACATACCCATATGTTGGACACATTGTCTGATATTCAACATGACAGGCACATTGACTGTACAGTTTGTACTGCTCAGTGACACATTTCCCTGTCTGTTGCAGGTGAAGGCTGGGCAGAACCTCAGGCAGTAGCATATAACCAAAAGGGGACAGGCACGTTTGCATCTCCTCACTGTAATAGATGAGTTTGTGTTCACCATTATTGGAGTGGCCACGACTGAGTCTCTGACCAGCAACAGGGCTGACAGCAAAGTTAATGATCTGTTCCTACGTAATTAATTCACCTTCTCACATCCCATATTTCCTTCATCCCATGGATATGACTCGCTGGGGTAGTGTCCTGGAAACCAAGCCCCACTGTTCCCAGAGTCACCAAAATTACACACATTTAATGATACTACAAAAACCCCAATTTTTCTCTGACTGTTACCCAGGACAGAAGCAAACCACGACATGTTTCTTATGTATAAATTAAGTAAAGTAAGTAAAAATAACTTTATTGTAACACTTTTTTTTACTTTAACAAGAACACTGAAAAAAGATCTCTATTTATTTAAACATTTAAAAATTCTCTCACACCCACAGACAAAGAAACAAGACAAAACATAAGTATTACGAGTCACATTCCCTCTAAGCTGTGTGGTTGCCCCAGGAGGTCCTGTGCAAGCTGATTGACATGTTGCAAACAATTCTTCTCCTCTTTTTAAAAGTAGTGTCCAATTTCTAATTTACATTCTATGTCAAAACAATAAAAAGATGTAGTCTCTTCCACCATAATCCGTTTTGATTTACAAGATGCAGATGATGAAAGAATCCACCTTTTGTTTTCTCCCCTCTCCCTCCCTGCAACTCCCCCTTTGTGCCTTTATCCTTTTAGAAACCCAAGAACTGCCACCTGACTGGACAACGGTGCAGGAGCAATTTGTGGAAGAGGACGAAGAGACAAAAAATGATTCTCATCCTTACTGCTGCTAGCTCAGAGACTGACACTGAGAGTAGTTGAGAGAGTAGCTTAGAGGGAAGATTTCCACATGGTGAGACATATGTGGCCCTGAGTCAGAGCAAAGAGAAAGAATAGGGCATTTGTTGATGGGTGAAATTGGACATGAATTACTGAGGACTCTGAGGATACCAAAATGGTGACATACAGATGTGCAAACAGATTGAAGACTTTTGTGCATTTGCAGGTCTACCAGAAAATCTGCACTCACTTTCAAGGAGTGTGGAGGAGCATTTCATCCTTGCACATGGCTTTACATAGAGCTTGGAGCTCACTGTTTCCAGCATGAATGTAGGGCCACACTGACTGGAATAGCCATTACATAGCATGTGATAGATGATGTTTCAACTTTCATTGGGGAATTTCTGCTTGGGTTGCATTGTCTGGCTGAAGCCATCATGACTGACAATACCAATGCTCAATGAGTTTGCTGTGAATTACAGCAGTCCCATAATCTGTAAACATGTTACGTGCCTTAACAAGGCACCACCCGAGGGAGTGGCACTTGCTCCAAGGAGCACAAGGCTACTCGTATGTGATCAGGATGGCAGCAATTTATCCTCCCACAACTGCCATCCCACTTGTGCTCTTGTTGTTACCTGCCATCCAGCCAACCCAGATTGTTTCTGCTTAATCTGAGTTTCTGCAGACCAAAGCCATGTCTTCTAGGCCTAGGGTCATGCATGGTTGTCCTGCAAGGCTATCTGCAGCCTCTGCCATTGAATATCAGCAGCAGTCCATCAGCCATGCCTTAGCCACTGAGGTAGTAGTGTCATAGCATTGGGACAGGCAAAGTCACACACAAGGAGGGCATTAAGAGAATACACAAGATTGATTAATTGGATTTTTATTGAATATTTATGGTTTGATTGATAAAGTTGATTTAAAACTTTTGCAGTGGTTTTTATGCCAATGTTGTAGACTCAGCTACTTATGAAAGGGAAGGACTGGGACTATTTTTGAATAAAGAATTAGGATTATGTTTACCGGGACCATAAATGGGATGAGGTCTTCCAAAGCAGCAGAAGCACTGACTAACACTCCAATGGTCTTATCAACAATAAGGCATGTGTTCTTTAAATATGGCCAACATAGGGGTCAAGCACTGGAGTCATGAGCTGGATTGTCATTCAGAAACCAGCCCCTTGTTTCTCTTGGTGACTCAAATGCTAATTGTACAGTGAACCTTTGGAGAATAAAAGCGATAGGATTGTTGCAAGTTACCTGGCACTGACCTGTGTTCTACACACTGAGGGAGTGAAATCTTTTTTGCTGTCATGCTCCATCTCTGAACTTACATACACGCCTGCAAAGCAATATATGTTCACTCAATATTACTGCGCACTATGTGAACTGTACAATGTGAGTGAAGCCATGTGCCTTAACCATCTGCCTCTCTTTGGATTGTGTATAGTGTCAGTGTCCTCCCTACACCTCACTTGACAATGAATTGCCCCACGTTGGCAATGCCAACTATTCCAGCCTCAAAGGAGCTCAACACAAAGAACTTAAAGTCCACTATCACCTTCACGACCAGTGCCAATGCCATTTTTGTCCTGCTCCAAGGCTGCAAGTGTGGTTGCCAGAGCTGGAAGATTTCAGTGAGTACCACCTTACTGAAATGGACACACTGAAACTGCTGAGGTTGAGGTATAAGTAGTCCCTGGGCAGATATGGCTTCCTGCTGATAGCTTTTCTTCCTCATTGAGCAACTTATCCTCCTCAATGCCATCTCTGATCATTGTCCCTTTCCTGCTCCAGACCAAGCAGAAATTAAGTTACAGCACCAGTCACTTGAAACACATGGGCTGAGCAGAATCCTTGAGGACAGAACTAGGGACCTGACCACATGCAGCACTACGTCCTGTAGAATTAAACAGAATACTGCAGAAACTGTACAAACCACTTTCAGCAAAATTGCAACAGCTAACAGGAATCAATAGCAACCAACTCGAGTGGGTTTCTAATCCTTTAACTCGTCCAGTTAAATGCAGTAATTAGTTGGGGTGTTAAGGTTAAAAACATAATTCATGGTATCAAATCAATTGAATGACACAGGATCCACATACTTCATATACTTTTGGCACATGCCCCCTGTGCCTGCCTTAACTAGTTACCCAAAATGGTGCTCAGTACAAGAAGCTTCCATCAGATAGTACTTTGAACCCAATTGGCATTCATGGTGCTGAAAGTACAGGTGCTAAAAATCAAATGTGTGACCAACATCTGCAGATGTTTTGGTCTATGGATGCTAGCAGCTTTCTAAAACTTGATCACGTAGCTACTCCTCATCTCAACTAGTGCACATTAAATAATGACAAGCAACTGGGATATAGTCAAAAGTGAATGAGGTTCAGATAGTTTATTTTCTATCATCCTGGTAGTTGAAGGATACAATGATAATGGAGTTTTTTCATTAATAACTAAAATGACTATTGTAGTTAATCCACAAAACATCCAGAGCTAACAGGAGGAAAACCCCAGGATGAAGACCCTCAAGAACCATAGGTTGCAAATCCATCTTTCCCACTCAAGCATGCGACATTTATTGCATGATAGCTTACATCTCAATTACTAGTTGTTCTGAAGGGGCAGAAGTAGTCATTTTAGTTCAGCCTGAGCAATCCAGTTGGTCCTAGTCCCTCACTGTTTCTCCACATCCAAGAAATTGTTTTCTCTTTCATGTATCTAATTCTCTTTTCAAGTTTACTGCTGTTGTTGGCTGCCTCGGAAATAGTTTGGCTGCAGTAAAGGGCAGTCTTGTGGGATTGGTTTCAGGGCTAATGGGTTTGCAGAGCAGCAAAGGAGGGACCTCAGAGCATGAGCAACTACTCAAAAGGAGGTGGAGGGCGGCACTTGGCAGGAAATCACATCATCAGAGGATCTTCACGGAATAAGGTTTCATTCAAATTCACTTCATCAAAGGGAACTTTCACCAAACTACATTGCCCGCTGAAGCGATAACTCGAGCCTTGAACCAGTGGATGGACAGTACTGCCTACATCAGGCCAGCCTTCTTGCCGTTGACTTTTTATGTGCCTTCTCCATCAATGTTATGCGTTCTTTTAACCACAAGACCAACACAAATTAAAATGAATTGGTTTTAGTTTATTAAAAAGGCACAAAATTAATGTTGTACATATAAGTTAACGACACATGGATAAGAGATGTGTCGAAATAATAAGTATCAAACAGTGGATCACTTAACACTTCATTCACATACTGTTTGCACTTGTTTTTCATATGCTGCCATAGTCAGTATCTTCCATTTAAATTTGCAAAACAATTCTGCAAACATGTTAATTTAAATACCATTTCTGTTTTTCTGGGGATCATTACAGTATATAACTGTGAAGACATAATATAGTGAAACTGTGCACATTTATTTTGCATCAGGCTTCAACAATTAGTTCTGTAAAACTTGTGATGCTTGTGATGATGGGATAAAGACTTAATAATTTCTGATAATGCTGGTTCCCATGCCAAGATACTGCACTATGAAGTGGTTTAAATTAACATTCAATTTTTGTACAAAAAGATCTAATTTACAGTTAGCTTTAATATACAAATTATCAGTCTCTCACTGTATGCACATTGTATAAAATGTTTTCAATGTATAGCTCAATGACAATTATAGCATTTTCATGTAATGAAGTAAACTAGCTTTTCATGGAATTTGCTTCTTCCTCCATGCTATTTTGCAGGTCTTAGGAATTTGTCTAATTAATTTATAAAAGCTTCTTTTGGTGCCATCTCTTAAAAACTAAAATTCAGATCTTGGTAAGCCTCTAACAGGTTACCCAAGTCCTGGGTCTTCTCTCACTCTGCCAGAACCCTAACAGTTGTTGCCCATCCATCTTACAGTGTGAACAGTATTGCGTTTGGAAAGTGGACTTTCATCTATCTGTCTCAGGAGGAAGTCACATGTTAGACAGTTACTGGCCAATTCGATGGCAGAAACTCCCAGCAGTGCCACCAGGACTATAGGAAGCCCACCACATCAAGGAGCCTTGACTGATAGTTATGTCCAAGGCATTGCCAGGTCATGTTGGCAGGACCTTAGCTAGGTGGGGGCAGTATTAAGGCAGAGGGACTATGAGTGACCACATTCAAGACGCCGAGTGAGATGTGAGGATTGACTTGGGGGGTGGACGGGTAGGCCTTTGTTTGGCACAGGGTGCCTGCGGAGGCTTCTCCCCACCACCTAACCCCATGCCTGCCCTGCGCAACACCGACGCACACAACTAAAGTGGCCAGGTTTCCTGACTGGTATTAGCCTCTCCCCTCTGGGTTTAGGTGCCTTAAGTGGTCATTAATTGGACTCTTAAGGGTGTCAAAGGTGCAAATGTGGGTGGACCACTTGATGGGTCCCTGTTCCCCATCTGGTTCCGGGAGGGGAAAGGGCTGGCTTTTGGATGAGGAGTACAATACCTGCTAAATGTTACGTGCTTCTCTGCTCTCAAACAAGCCAGTGGAAGAATGTATTATCCAGCCCCGGGGGACTACTGATTTTGAAATTCCACAAGAGAACCTCAGAAAAAAAATGTGGTCCTTGAACAAAAATATAATGAATCTTGTGCTTTTTGAGGAAAAATTTACAGTTTGACAAATATTTTCTTAACTTCTGGAATGTGTTAAGTTTGGACTCCTACAGTTAGTTACCAAAGTTGAGACATTTTTCACACACTGAATTGGGTGAATGCACATTAATAATCACCAAGTATGTTTCGCCTTCAGTATGATACTCTGTAAAGATAAACAATGATCTCAATTCATTTTCCAAAGCTAGAAGCCTGTATAAGAGTCAAGTAGCATCCTGAGTTTCGGCCCAGCTGTGAGTTATTTAGCCCTGCATTTACCTTTCAGTTGGAGGGACCCCCTGAAGCAGTGATCTATTGAAGAAATTGTATTCATAAGGAATGCTGATCAGGAAAATACAGGCCCATGGCCCAGATCTTCCATCCACTTGAATTAATAAACCAAAAATCTAGGCTACAGACTTCTAATTTCCTGTCCAATGCAATTCACAAACACTGCATCTTACTGGCAGCACCTAACCAGGGAATCAGCCATAACTCATCCGCACGCACTATGTGAGTGAACCTGCTGAGAAATTAACATGCTCATTTCTACAGCTTTGAGAACCATGTCCAATCCATTGTTGGAATCATCTGGCATGTTCTAAACTCCCAGATAACTGCAGCAAAGGAGCACAATTATTAAAGGAGGCTTGCCATCACCCCAGTGAAACATCTCTTCCCCAAACCCTACTAAATCTAAAACATTCCCACAAATACTGCCAGTTTGGCCATGGCTCAGATCGCTGGGTCATTTCCCTTCCCTCCTTTCCTGTTCACAACGCTCACTGGTATCACCACACAGCAGCCAAGAATGACTCTAAAAGGTCACTTGTGGACACAAAACCCTCGGTTGATCCCCCTTGTTCTTGTAAGTGTTAATATTGCTGAGCATCAAAACAAATATATTGGAGCTATTAGGTTGACAGGGTAGTAATTGGAAAAGGCCTAAACAAGTGCTGAGAAATAACTGATGACGTAACATGAATCCTTGTCATGAGGAAGGTGTTTTATTATTACCTTACACATTTGAGCTTTCACCTTCTGTTATGGTACCATTAACGTGGTTTTGACCATTTTGTGCTTTTACTGCAGGCTGCATTTCATCCATTTTTTTATACATTGTATTTCCTCCTGTAGTAGATTTGTGATAATACAGTGATAAGAAACATTTCCATTATGAGAAGCTGCTGATTCATGTCTGGAAAAGATTGAACTGAAATTAGCTAATTGAATGACTAAATAGGCAAAAGATTAATCACAATAGGGATAACCTAAATCTTTTGTGCAAAAGTACAAAAAAAAGAGCAGTTTTGTGAGGCTGTGTTATTAGCATTCAGTAAGGCTAGCAGCAAACACTGGTTGGACAATAGGCTACAGTATTCTCGCCTATTTCTGATTTGACATTAATGCTATTAAGACCTTGCATCTGTAAGAAAAGATTTGTTTCCAAGAAACTGTTTTACATATTGGCTTTCAAGCATTATTCTGTCTGTTTGTAAAGTATGTGCATTCATTCTAACCATCCTTAATTTCTACCACTTAGGAATATATAAAGAACAAGATCAATAAAATTAACTTAAATTAATACTTGTAAGTAGTGAGAAATTTTCATGCTCTCTCCTCAAGTAGAATTTTACAGGGCATTGTAGTTTTAAAAGAAAATTGCATTTACAAATAACATACATGCTCCTCTGGCTGCAGGTGAAAACGGAGGTGCACAGGCTATGCCACCTGCTGATACTGTTGCATTGATAATTACACCTTGCAGCTGATCAAGAATGAATGAAATCTGTCGGAAAAAAAAACAGAAAATTAAAAATCACCTAGTATAACATAAACCATGTTAAGCAAACAATAACAGAAATTGCTGGAAAATCTCAGCAGGTCTAGCAGCATCTACGGAGAGAAATCAGACCGAATGTTTCAAGTCCAGTGACCCTTATTCAGAACCTTCAGACCTCTTTTCAGTTCTGGGCAGTATGGTGGCTTAGTATTTAGCACGGCTTCCTCTCAGTGGTAGGGACCCAGGTTCAATTTCACCCTCAAGTAACTGATAGTGTGGAGCTTGCACATTTTCCCGGTGTCTGCATGGGCTTCCTCCAGGTGCTCTGGTTTCCTCCCACAGTCCAAAGATGTGCAGATTAGGTGGATTGGCTATAGGAAATGCAGGGATAGGGTAAAGGGGTGGGTCTGGGTAGGATGCTCTTCAGAGGGTCGGTGTGGAGTCGATGGGCCAAATGGCCTGTTTCCACACTGTAGGGATGCTATGATTCTAGATGCTGCCACACCTGCTGAGATTTTCCAGCAATTTCTGTTTTTGTTTCAGATTTCCAGCATCCGCAGTTCTTTTGGTTTTTTGCCCATGTTAAGCAAATCTGTATGACAGAAATTGGCAATTGTTAAAAGCCTAGAGCCAACCAATTTTGTTAACTAATTTCTAAAACTGGCTCAGAAAAATAAAATCTTGCTTGTCATGACTTTTAAGGTCCAGTTTAAATATTCTCCAGGCAACATTCTTGTCAATACTCTCATCAATACAGACAGAGAGACTTGCATTGAATAGAGTGCCTGTACCACCCAAAATCGAATCATACAATCAGATTGTCTTGTGATCAAATTGAGGATTATGTACTTAATGTTTGCCCTCACACATGCTTCTCTACTCTTTCAAATGGGAGACAAACATTTGGTAAGTCAAATAGTTAGGAATTGTTAAGCTGTTTTACCTCACATCCAAAATGTGAACATAAAAAATGACAACATAGGAAAATCCCATTTCATTCAATCCTAATTCTTTCCTTACATAATAAACCTGAATTTTCATACTACGTTTCTTTATTGATTACATTGAAGAATGCAGGAACTGACATCTTGTGTTTCATTATCCAGGTCTGGGCTGTGGCCTTACGCCACACATTTGCTTGGTTTTAAACTTGCCTGTCTGTGTGATCCTTTAGAAGCTGATTTGCTCATTTTGTTTTCTGTGCTCGCTGCCAGAGAGAGGGTGGGTGTGCCAACTCTTACTGGATGGAGTCCTGGGAAGTTTGATAGTGTAAAATTTGAATCACAAGAACATATGTTTATGAAGATCTTTGGCTGTATGTATACAGGCTGTCTTTGAAAATCCAGGAGGTTTTGTTTATCTTGGATGACCAATTCCCTTGATAGGACTTAGTTGTTTCCAAGTCAAGCAACAAAATGGCTTCATGTACTTTTACCAGATGAAATCTCACAATACAGTCAGTTAAAAGAAACTTAAGATTATTTTTGAATAGCTTAAATAAATCAATAGAATAAATAAAGAAATCATGAATCACTTTAATGACCACGTGAATAAATTCAAATATTTGTTTTAAGTGTTCTATTTTCTATACTGGTGGATTTCCGAGACATTTGCTGCCCTTCTCTCTTTCTAGGTAGTTGAAGTCACAGGTTTTAAAGGTGCTGTCAAAGGAGCCAGTGTGTGTTACTGCAGTACATCTTGAAGATGGTACAGATGGTGCACCAGTGGTGAAGGGAGCATATGTTGAAGGCAGTAGATGGGATGACAATCAAGCAGGTTGCCTGAGTTAGAAAGAATTGCAGATGCTGGAGTCAGAGATAACAGTGTGGAGCTGGAGGAACACAGCAAGCCAGGCAGCTGAAGAAGGGACGCAACCAGAAACGTCAACTTTCTGCTCCTCTGATGCTAACTGGCCTGTGTTCCTCAGCTCCACACTATGTTATCTATAGGTTTCCTGAGTGTTGTTAGACCTGAACCAATCCAGGCAAGTGGAGAGTTTTCCATTATATTCCTGATTAATACCTTATTGATGAGAACAGGCATTGGGGGCGACAGGAAATGGCTTACTTGCTGTAGAATTCCTAGTGTCTGACCTGCTCTTGTACCACAGTGTGTATAGGATAATGATAGTTGCTTATATAGCAATGGTAATGGCACTCATTGTGAAGGGATGATGGTTAGATGGCAGTGGCTCATCCGCTCGGTCTGTTTCTTTTCTTGCTTTTTTTTCTTTAGTGGTTTCTCAGTAGCCAGACATGGTGGTCTCTTAGAGCCCATGTGGCAGCCTAGAATCCCAGTGGCCCAGTGTGGCTGTCTCCCGGGCCAGCATGGCTGTCTCCAGCCCGGTGTAGCTGTCTCCTGCCCTGGAATGGTGGTCTCTCGGCAGCCTGGTTTGGCTGTCTCCTGACCTGGCATGCAGTCTCTTGGCAGCCTAGTTTGGCAGTCTCCTGGGCCCGGCATGACGGTCTCTCAGCGGCCCGGTATGGTGGTCTCTCAGTGGCCCAGTATGGCCTTCAGGTCTCGAGATAATTCCAGAGCAGTTTCCTGGCCTCGAGATGAAGCCTTTTGCAGTCTGGAGTCAAGGTGCAGTGCAGACGAAAGACTCCGTGCCAGTGTGGACTTGATTGGAAGGACTGTTATTCTGAACATTTTTTTTCTAAATTATTATGATCTGTAATACTGGTCTTTTTATTTCTTTATTTTTCTATTTTTCCCTAAGAATTTGTACAGAAGAATCTATACCTAGGTACTTTTGTATCGAAGGTGGCACCATAAGTGGCAACTTGTAAACTTTTCACTATACTCATTTGAGTATGTGACAATAAAGCTAATTCTAATTCTAGATTCTCTTCTTTGAGATGGTCATTGCATGACATAAATGTTACTTACTGGAACGAGGGCCAGGTGCATCGCATTCACTATAAGATCCCTGATTTGAGTTGTTAACCTTGACCAATCAGGGAGCCCTGCCTGACAGGTAGAAGCAGGAGATTCAGAAGGTCTCCTCAGCCTAGGGACTGGCTTTAAGTTAGCTAGTCAGAGCCCATGTACTGTGCACATGTAAATAAAGGGTAATGGGATACTGGCCTCTGTTGAGTCATTTCATGCCATTTATCCAATATTGTCCAGGTCTTGCTGCACATATGAACGAACTGCTTCAGTATCTGAGGAGTTGTGAATGATCCTGAACATCGTGCACCCATCAGTGAACATCCCTACGACTGACATTATGATAGAGAGAAGATCATTGATGCAGCTGGAGATAGTGGGTTTGAAAGGCCTTGCATTGTAGTGGTAATGCCCCTACCCATAGACCAGAATGTTTGTGTCCAAGTCCCAGGGTGTGATGGCTACAGAGGTGGGCCAGAACATTTCCAAAAAATAGGTTGATAGAATGATTGCAGCAAACATTGATTTATGCACATGTATTAAAAAGTTAATATTCTATAATTTTGTTTTTTTTCTCTAATTATACAATATTCATTATGTCGACGGAGGTTCAAACTAATCTAGTACCTAACATTTCGTCCTGTTCAAATGAGAAACAAACATTAATTAGCAGCATGATGCAGAATTCAATCTACCTTAAAAAGGAGGAACTTGGGCATTATCTTCTGATTTTTAAGTTCACCTTTGACTTTGTAAAATACAATTGAAAGTGGCCACAGTGCAAACACTGTGGAGACACCAAGGGAAATATTAATCCATAATGCAGGTCCACTAGGAGAAAACTGCAAAATAAGAAATTGTATACTGTCACATTCAGTGAAAATACATCTAACCATTCTCAGCTCTATCTCATAAATTATTTGTTTTACTTTTGTTGCACTTAATTACACAGACTAGTCAGCAACATAGTCATACTCATAGAATCATAGCTTACAGTCAACATCCCAGACACCACCACAACCAATCCCTAGATATGTACTGTCCCACTGGCAGGACAGAGCAAGCAGAGGTGATGACACAGTGGTATACAGTCGGGACTTAGTTGCCCTGGAACCCCTCAACATTGACTCTGGACCCTATGAAGTCTCATGGTTTCAGGTTAAACAAGCACAAGGAAACATCCTGCTCATTATCATGAACTGTCCTTCCTCGGCTAATGAGTCAGTACTCCTCTATTGTGAGCAACATTTGGCAAAAGCGCTGAGGGTGGCAATGGCGCAAATTGTACTCTGGGTGGGGAATTTCAATTCCACCATCAAGAGTGGCTCAGCAGCAACACTACTGATCAAGCTGGTTAGGTCCTAAAGGACATAGCTGCTGGATTGGGTCTGTAGCACATGGGGAGGGAACCAACTGGAAGGAAAAATAAGCATACTTCGCCTCATCCTTATCAACCTGCCAGCTGCAGATGCATCTGTCCATCTTAATATCGGTAAGAGTGACCAGCGCATGGTCCTGTGGAGTCCCACCTTCATATTGAGAATACCCTCCATCGTGTTGTGTGGCACTATGTCCATAAAAATAGGTCAAATTTCGAACATATCTAGCTACTCAAGACCTAGGAACCATCAAAAGCAGCAGAACTGTACTTGAACACAATCTGCAACCTTGTGACCCAGCATATCTCCACCCAACCATTATCATCAAGCCACCTTGGTTCAATGTAGAGTGCAGGAGGGCATGCCAGGAACAGCACCAGGTATACCTGAAGATGAGGCATCAACCTGATGAAGCTACCAAACAGGACTATTTGCAAGCCAACTACATAAGCAGTAAGTGATAGGGACAGCAAAGTGGTCCACAATCAACGGACCAGATCTAAGCTCAATAGTTCTGCCACATCCAGTTATAATGATGGTGGACAATTAAACAAGCAACTGGATGAGGAGGCTCCACAAATATCCCCATCTTCAATGATGGAAGAGCCCAGTACGTCAGTGCAAAAGATAAGGCTGAAGCATTCACAGAAATCTACAGCCAGAAGTGCAGAGTGGAATATTTATATCGGCTTCCTCCAGTGGTTCCCAGCATTAAAGATACCTGTCTATAACAATTTAATTCATTCAAGGTGATATTAAGAAACAGTTGAAGGCACTGGATACTACAGCTATGGGCCCTGACAATATTCCAGCAAAAGAACTGAGGACTTGTGCTCCAGAACTTGCTGTTCCCTTAGCCTAGCTCTTCCAGTACAGCTACAACAGTAGCATCTACTCAACAATGTGGAAAATTATGCACACATGTTCTGTACACAAAAAGCAGGACAAATCCAACCAAGTCAATTAGTGCCCCATCAGTCTATTCTTGATCATCAGTAAAGTGATGGAAGGTGTCATCAACAATGCTATCAGGCAGCATCCGCTGAATATTTACCTGCTTAGTGATGCCCAGTTTAGGTTCTGCCAAGGCCACTCAGCTCTTGACTTCATTACAGCCTTGGTTCAAACAGACAAAAACACTGAATTCCAGAGGTGAAGTGAGAGTGACAGCCCTTGACATCAAAGCTGCATTCAATGGAGTGTAGCATCATTGAAACATAGCAAAGCTGGCATCAGGGGGAACTCTCCACTGGTTGGAGTCATACCTGGCACTTAGGAAGATGGCTGTGGTTACTGAAGGTCATTCATCTCAGCTCCAGGACATCTCTGCAGGAGTTCCTCAGGGTGGTGTCCTAGGCCCAACCATCTTCAGCTGCTTCATCGATGACCTTCTCTCCATCATAAGGTCAGAAGTGGGGATGTTCACCGATGATTGCACAATGTTCAGCACCATTTACAACTCCTCAGACACTGAAGCAGTCCATGTTCAAATGCAACAAGATCTGGACAATATCCAAGAATGGGCTGACAAGTGGCAACATTGGTGCCACACAAAATGCCAGGCAATGACTACCTACGTTCCTTGACATTCAATGATGTTTTCTTCATTGATTCCCTCAATAAACAACATCCCGGGGGTTACCCTTGACCAGAAACTCAACTGGACTTGCCACATAAAAGACAATGACTATGAGTGCAGGTCAGAGATTAGGGATACTGCAGTGAGTAACTCAACTCCCAACTCCACAAAGCCTGTCTACTATCTACATGCTCAGGTCAGGAGTGTGATGGAATACTCCTCACTTACCTGGATAGGTGCAGTTTCAACAACACTCAGGAAGCTTGACACCATCCAAGACAAAGCAGCTCACTTGACTGGCACCCCATCCACTCCCTCGACCATGGACACTCAGTCACAGCAACATGGACTATCTACAAGAAGCACTGCAGAAATTCATCAAAGATCCTTAGACAGCACCTTCCAAACCAACAACCACTTCCATCTAGAACGAAAAGGGAAGCAGATGTATGGGAACCCTACCACAAACAAGTTTCCTTCCACGCCACTCACCATCCTGACTTGGAAATATATCACTGTTCCTTCACTATCACTGGGTCAAAATCCTGGAATTCTCTCCCTCAAGGGCATTGTGGGTCGACCTACAGCCAGTGACTGCAACAGTTCAAGAAGGCAGCTCAACACCATCTTCACTAACTTGATTGAATTTTTCAAGAAGGTTTTGACAAAGGTTCCTCATGGTAGGCTCATCTAGAAGATTAAGTATGGGATCCACAGTGACTTGGCTGCGTGGATTCAGAATTCGCTTGCCCATAGAAAGCAGAGACAGTGGTGGAAGATTGTTTTTCAGGCTGGAGTTCCATGAATCATGGTGTTCTGCAGAGATCCATGCTGGGACCTCTGCTGCTTGTAATACATATAAATGAATTAGATGAAATGCTTATTTCAGTGAGATAAGCACTTCAGAAGTCAAAAATCTCAACTTCACCAAATGACTTAATTTTTGGTGCTGTTTTCACTAACGTGCTTATTTCACTCAGGATGGGGTTAGCAACTACAAGGAGAGGCTAGAAAACTTGTGTTGTTTTCTCTTGAGCGATGGAGGTTGAGAGGAGATTTGATAGAAGCCTATAAAATTATGAGATGCATAGACAAGGTTGACGGTCAGAATCTTTTTCTCAGAGTCGAAATGTTTAAAACTAGGGGGCATGCATTTAAGATGATTGGGGGAAGTTAAAAGAAGATGAAAGTGGCAAGTTTTTTTTTACACAGAGTGGTAAGTGTGTGGAACGCACTGCTAGGGGTGGTGGTGGTGGAGGGAGATATGATGGAGGCATTAGATAAGCACATGAATATGCAACGAATGGAGGGCTATGGACCAAGAGCAGGCAGAAGGGATTAGTTTAATTTGGTGTCATGTTCGGCATAACATCATGGGCTGAAGGGCCCGTTCTTGTGCTGTACAGTTCTATGTTCTATGTTCTCAAGGGCAACTAGGGATGGGCAATAAATGCTGGCCAGCCAGCAACATTCACATTCTGCAAGTGAAGAAAAAAAATTAAATCTGCAATGGACAAGTTCAACCAGCCTGCTATGGTTAGAGTAATGGCTGAGCTACACTTGATATTTCCATTTTGGTGCTACAGTGGCAACTTGTAATTGGTCAAATTTGGTAACAGCTTTGAGCACACACAGCTAATATTTAGATAACAACGTATGGTGGGGCATAATGAAATGGAAATCAATTTAGAGTTCCAAGTATTCCTTCAACATAATTTCTTTTTCAGAGCATTCACTACCATTTTCACTGAACATTACACTGCAGAGACATTGACGAATAATAGGGCACATTTTTAAAGAGGGAATTGCAACCTTAGTTTCAATTGTCAGCTTTATAAAAGGTACTTCTTATTTAGCAGCTCAGAAAAAGGCAAAATGTGTCAATTCGCATCTGTAAATAAAATTTGTCAACTTAGCACCAACATTTTTATTCATCCTTTTCAACTATTAGCATGTAAATGAAAGGGGAAAAAGAACATACATCATCTGGGATGAACGTCCCATTAACCCAAAGGACTAATGTGAAGATCATTAGGACTGGCTGTAAGAAAGCAAACTGAAATGTTCCCAATTTCAGTATGAACATCAGGCGCCTGAAAGGAAAGAAACAAACATCAATGCATGTAAACAACAGCTTAAAATGGAAACGTCTATCATTAGCTTATGTCTCCCATTTACCTTTAACATAGTAATCCAACAAACAACTTATCTCAAACCACTTTGTGCAGCATCTTGTGCAATGTTTCCATGAAGAAAAATAAAGACTTGAATTTATACAGCATCTTTCAATGACCTTAGGATGTCTCAAAGTATTTATAGACAATTAGGCACTTACAAAAAGTGTAGTCACAGTTGGGATGTAGGAAATGCTGCAAACAGTTTGTGCACATCAAACTGTAGCAAATGGGAATGTAACAATAACCAGAATTTTTTTTTATATGGATGTTGACTGGGGAACAAATATTGGGCAGGACCCATGCAGTACCCACTGGCCATGGAAGTAAGTCTCTTCCTATCTTTATTTCAACCAACTTGTTAGGGCATGTTATGCCACCACTTGGGGGCTCATAGGACTTAAACCTGGACCTTCTGGCCCAGGTGTAGGGATACTACCATTGTGCCACAAAGCCCTAGTCTCTCTTTGTGCTCTTTTGAAATCAAATCAATTGTAGTTTCTTACTACAAATGCTTAGGTATTTGATTACATAATGCCCTTCACATATCATAATGCAACTAATACACAATCAGGATCAGTTATATTAGTTGGCTAGATGACTAGAGTGTGGCACAGAATAAGGCCAGTAGCATGGGTTCAGTCTCTGCACTGATTTTGGTGGTTCATGAGGTCTATCTCCTTATTTTATTCCATGCCTGTGGAGGTGTTACCTTTGAGCACACAACATAATTAACTGTCTCTTCCTCTCTAATGAAAATAACTGCTGATGGCCCTTTTGTGGACTACGGCTCCTTATGTTACATTAGCAATATTCTTGCTTTGAACATCTCACACAGAGTCAATCTAAAGTTGCCACATTGAATGGTACAAGATTAGAATCAGTTCATTTTCTGTTGTTAGGAACCAAACACAAACATCTCTTAACAAAAATTAGGAGTTCACCGTATAGAATACTGTGCCAGAACAGCCCATCTTTGCAGCTTTGCCACATTACATTATTGTGCATCAGAGAATTCCTGAAATGAAACTTTGCAGGCTCCAGGGAGAATGATGGGAAGTCAGTTAAGTCACTTCCCAACATTATTAATAAATCACCTGGTCGCTATCCTGTGGGCGCAGGTGTTAGGGGCCCATCTAGTTGGGCACCACAAGAATTGCCCAACTTTCCCAGTGAGAGAGGGCATTTCTGCTGAAAGTGACTCTCTGCCACCAGATAGGCAAACCGAACCTGACTCAACTTGATTTATAGGACTCCTTCCTGATGCTTGGCTTGGGTTCGCTGCTCTTCCAGCAGAAGCCACTGCTTGCATTGCTGCCATCTATCTGATTGGCTAGGAATACTCAAGGCTGGGAAATCACTCCTTAAAGAGGCAGAAGCCCTGACTGTGGACAATTAACAAACTGCTGAATGGAAATTACAGTTGGGGCTTCCATATCTTGCAGTGGCGAGGTTGCTCTCAGCTGTCCAGCCAGTGAACCACTGTATTCCAATAAAGTTCCAGCCATTATTTCAGTATGAGAGGAGCCTGGCCAAACCAGGAGGTGAACTAACTCAACGTCTCTGGGCCAGGGAAAGAATAATGTAGGGAAAATTTTGACTTGAATATCAATCAGTGATCTCTTCTGAAAAGTCCACTATACGTGACTATCTGGTAATGATAGGATTGGGATTTATGTCATGCCTTCCTCTGGTGAAAACTCACCATCTACAATTACACATGAAAAATGATCACTTTGGTAAGATGTCATAGATTTTCATGGACAGTGAAGGTTACCTCAGAGTACAATAGAATCTGGATCAGATGGGCTAATGAGCTGAGGAATGGCAGCTGGAGTTTAATTTAGATAAATATGTGGAGCTGTATTTTAGAAAGGCAAATCAGGGCAGGACTTATACACTTAATGGTAACGTGCTGGGAAGTGTTGCCAAACAAAGAGGCCTAGGGGTACAGGTTCTTAGTTCGTTGGAAGTGGAGTCACAGGTAGACAGGGTGGTGAAGGAGGCATTTGGTATGCTTGCCTTCATTGGTCAGTGCATTGAATATAAGAGTTGGGAGGTTATGTTGCAGCTGTACAGGACATTGGTTAGGCAACTTTTGGAATACTGCACTCAATTCTGGTCACCCTGCTACAGGGAAGATGTTGTTAAACTTGAAAGGGTTCAGAAAAGATTTACAAGGATGTTGCTGCAATTGGAGGGTTTGAACTATAGAGACAGGATGAATAAGTTGGGGCTTTTTTCCCCTAGAGCGTTGAAGTCTGAGGGTGACCTTAAAGAAGTTTATGAAACATGAGGGGCATGGGGAATAGCGTGAATAGCCAAGATCATTGTCCCAGAGTAGGGGAGTCCAAAACCAGTGAGCATAAGTTTAAAGTGAGAGGGGAAAGATTTAAAAAGGGACCTAAGGGGCAACTTTTTCACACAGAGGGTGTTTTGTGTATGGAATGAACTGCACGAGGCAGAGGCAGTTACAATTGCATTTAAAGGGCATCTGGATGGATACTTGAACAGGAAAGGTTTAGAGGGATATAGTCCAAATGCTGGCAAATGGGACTAGATCAGTTAGGATATGTGATCAGCATGTACAAGTTGGACCTAATAGTCTGTTTCCATGCTGTATAACTCTATGACTCTGTGACTCTACGACTCAGAGCTGCAGATTAAAATGAAAAAAATATGCTTTCAGAAATGTATCTGAGAATAAAGCTAATAAAAGAGAAATAAAATAGAAGTTGAGGTCTGGAACACTTTCAATTTTTGAAATGTCAACATAAATTATTTCAACGTCATGTATATTACAGCTGAGAAGAATAGTAAATATTCCATTTACAAATCCCTAATATGTCTTCATCCCTAATAATACAATAATATCTCACTGTATCAGTGTTAAACCCCTGTTTACAAAAAAAAAAGTAATTTGGAACAGTTTTCCAGTGAAGTTAGGGCAATTGAAAATTTCATAACTAGGATTGATAGATTTTTGTAAGATAAGAAACAAAAATCGAGGGGTTGTGGGATGGGGAAGTTGTAAATAGACATGTAATACATATCAGCTCTGATCTAACTAAATGGATTGAGGGGATTAATTGGTTTACTTCTGCTTCCACGTTCCAGTCCAGACATGGAAATTTATCATTATTTTGTTTCTCTTGCCTATAAGGGTCTGGATTGACATCATGTAACCTTACTTTGATGAGAACTCTCAGTTAACAATGAGAGCACAATCTTCTCCTATCAATGATTCAATAACTCTAGAGAGATATGGGCCAATTGCAGGCAGATGTGACCAGTTTAGTTTGGGAAACTTGGTAGGTATGGATGAGTTGGACCAAAGGGTTGGTTTCAGTGCTGTATGACTCTATAACTCCATGGATTATCGTTCAGATTCCTTATTAAACTGATCACGCATTTTAACTCAACCCCTTATTAACTCTAACTCCTACAACTCCAAATAAATAATACATGCCAATTACAGAAATGACAGGTGACAGCTCCACTAACATTTCTGCAAATTAATCTAGCCCACCTTGAAGTTTTTGCAGTTGGTAAACATGGACAGCAACAACAGCAGGGTCCTGTACTGAACGTCATCGGTGTATTTTCAAAATGCATCAAGAAGGCCTCATCTCCACCAAATTCTTCTATCATCATCTCCTGGAACTTGTAGAATGCAATTGCAAAATACCTATAGAAATGATAAAAATTATTCAAGGAATTCATCCTATAAAATATAGTTCATGTATATGAACTTTTGGATTCTTGCTCGGTGTTGCTTTATCCTGAACGCTTTAAGATATTTCTCAGCTACCATTACCATGTACTGACATTATTTCTCGAGGGGTTTCCTGCTGGTCTCCTGCTATGTTCCATGCTGAAAATTTTTCCAGTTGAAAGAAACTTGGTAACTGCTAATTTAAAAGAAAAGTTTCCTCTGTGAAGTTTGTTCCACTGATAAATTGTTATATTGGATTGTGAACGTTGTGTGAGGTTTCTCATCTATCATTGCTCTAATGTTATTGGAGATAAAAATTAGTTACACTCAACCTAGAGTACAGGGATCACTGTCAAGAAAATTAGAGCTAACTTGCTGAAAAAAAAAACAAATTGGATAAAGTAGGCATAATGGTACATAGATACAAAGTGACGGGATATAGATTTTAACCCTTAATTTCTGAACGTAACTAAAGTGTCAATTCCATCCATTTTACTCTTGGGATATGCCAAATAGAAATAAAATATTACCATCAGCTTAGAGGGAAATTTGGAAAGACATTCATCACGAGTTTACTCTTATGCAATTCTTAGCTGCAGCACATGTCTGGAAATTGGTTCTTTGCTTACCTGGTAGAGACCAAGAAGAGAGAACAAATTGATTGAAATAAGTGCTTTGCTGGGAATACTAGAAAATAATTCCAATGTTGTCACTTGGGATAATATTATGATCCTACAAATGAATATGCACACTTGCTATGGCAGAGAAGAATCAGGCCTGCAACATGCTTATCTCAGTTCCAATTCATATTTTCTTTCATCACAACATCTTGCACTTAGATGAAAGATAGTTTGTGTGAAATTTCCATTATTGTGGCATAAATTAAAACTAGCTTAACATTCTGAAATCACCTACTGTAGATTAAAAATATCTTTAAACTACTTTCTACCAGTCTTGTTCCTAAATGAATCAATTGTCCTCATTTACTTCACAGTGGAGAAATTACAGAAAAGGCAATTGCAATCATATTTCATTTTAGATAGTGTAAAGGGAGAGAGCTGCACATTTTTGGGAGTTCCATCTTCTATTTTTGTTGTTTTATACTTTAAAACTCTTATCAGAGGCAGCACAGTTTATCCCATTCCAACTCCATAAACCATGTAAATAATTTACTTTTGTACAAAAAAAGAGAGAGGTTTCACTGAAGGGCTCTTCATTCAAGACAGTAGGCAATTAAGAAATTTTTACTTCCCAGAATTTAATGAAGACAATTAAAATGCAATGTATACTAGATATAATAGAAACCTCAACAGAAATACATACGCTGCTGTTGTCAAATCTGTGATCATTGATGCTAGAGGAATCCACATCCCAACACAAGATGTAGTTGCCACCACCTGAAACAAAAATACAAAAGACCATAAGACATAGGAACAGAAGTAGGCCTTTCAGCCCATCATGTCTGTTCCGCCATTCAATGAGATCATGGCTGATCTGGTAACCTTCAATTCCACTTTCCTGCCCTTTTCCTATAATCCTTGATTCCCAAACTGATTAGGCCTTGAATATACTTAATGACAAAGCCTTAACTGTACTCTGTGGAAAGAATTCCACAGATTCATTACCTTGGGGAAGAAATTTCCTCCTTATCTCTGTCTTAAATGTGTGACTCCTTGTTCTGAGTCATAGAGATGTACAGCATGGAAACAGACCCTTCAGTCCAACTCGTCCATGCCGACCAGATATCCTAAATTAATCTAGTCCCATTTGCCAGCATTTGGCCCATATCCCTCTAAACCCTTCCTATCACATACCCATCCATATGCCTTTAAATGTTGTAACTGAACCAGCCTCCATCACTTCCTGTGGCAGCTCATTCCATACAAACACTGCCCTTTGCATGAAGAAGTTGCCCTTAGTTCCCTTTCAAATCATTCCCCTCTCACCTTAAACCTATGCCCTCGAGGTTTGGACTGTCCTACCCTGGGAAAAGACCTTTACTTTTCATCCTATCCATTTTTCTTATGATTTTATAAGATTATACCCTCGGGTCCTAGACTCTCCCACAAAAGAAAGTGACCTTTCCGCATCCACCCTGTCAAGTCCCTTAAGAATGGAATTTGTTTCAATAAGGTAACTTCTTATTCTTCCATATTCCAACAAGTACAGGGCCAATCTACTCAACCTCTCTTCATAAGACAGTCCCTCCATACCAGGTATCTGCCTAGTGAACTTAGTCTAAACTACCTCCAATTCCTGTCTATCTTTTCTTAGATAAAGGGCCCAAATCTTTCACTGTATTCCAGCTGTGGTCTGCCTTGTATAGTTTTAGCAAAACCTCCTAACTTTTAAACTCCATTCCTTTTGTAATAAAGGCCAACATTTCATTCAACTACCCTACTGGCCACAGAACTTGGATTGTAACTTTTTGCAATTCATGGATGAGGACTGCCAAACTCCTCTATTCTGTAGTTTTCTACAGAATACTTTTTATCCATTTAAATAATATTCAGCTCCTCCATTCTTCATGCTAAAGTACACAATCTCACATTTTCTCACATCATGTTCCATCTGCCAAGCTTTTTGCACACTCACTTAACCTGGCTATACCCCTTTACAGGCTCAGTATCATCCTCACCACTTGCCTTCACACCTGTTTTTGTGTCATCCACAAACTTGACTATTACATTCACTCCTTGTTACATGAGATTCGTGTACTCATGGGGTCAGCCCGAGACTCAACTTTTTTCCCCCTAACTGACAGGTCCTTACGAATCATGCAATCCTTCATGGTAGACAGGGGATTTATATTGTACATCTATCCATATTTGTGTTTTCGGAGTGAGGTCCATGACCCTATCCCCTCTGGAAAACATGGATTTGATGTAATACATTGAATTGCCTAATCCAAGTCATTCTTATAACTTGTAAATAATTGTGGCTTCAGCACTGTTCTCTGTGACATCCACTAGTTACAGGTTGCAATCCTGAACATGCCCCCTTTATTTCAATTCCTTGTCTTCTATTCATTAGCCAACCTCTATCTATGCTAATATATGACCTCAAACACTATGAGCTCTTGTCTTATTAAGTAGCCTAATGTGTGGTACTTTATCATATGCTTTCTGAAAATTCAAAAGCATTACATCCACTGCTTTCCCTTTATCTATCCTGCTCGTTACCTCCTCAAAAGAATTTTAGTAAATTTGTCAGTTATGATTTCCCTTTAATGAAGCTGTGCTGATTCTGCTTGATCATATTATATATTTCTAAATGATCTGCTATTGCATTCTTTATAATAGTCTAACACTTTCCCAATAACAACTGTTACTTCTTTTTAGTGCAAAAGTTAGCATTCTTGGATGTCGTAAAACAAAGATTTCAAGGACAAAAGCAAGATACAATGAATGCTGAAAATCTGAAATTAAAAAAAATGAAAATTTTCTAGATACTCAGCAGGTCAGGCAGTACCTGTGGTGAAAGAAATAGAGTTAAGAGGCGAGAATGTGATGAGCCTCTTGGCTAACTATGACTGACACTGATTGTGTGTAGTTGCTCTTGTACCCACTAAAGACTGCTCCCCTTTCACTTTCAGACATAACCATTTTGGTTGAAGCACATGTAATGTGTTTGCTGCATAAGTTGCTGCGGGCATGACATTGATGCATCCTACAGTCATACAGTGACAGGTTCACACCTTGACTGTTCAGTGCTCCCCACCTCCCAACCACCCCACCACGTTAAGATGGCTGCCTTGCCTCTATGCTAAAAAGCAATGCGAGACACAGAGGCTGGCAGTGGGGATCTCAACAATGAAGACCCTGTGTGCTAAAAGGCAATGTAACTGAGTAAGGGAGTACCAAGAAAGTAACGTAAGAGCCATAAGGTGCATCCTGTGTAGCTGCATGGGATGTGTGTTTGTCCCTGCATGTGAAGGGTCCTGACAGAAGCATGCAAGTTGTAGGTGTCCCTGAGCTCCAGATTAAAGTGCCGAAGGATAGAAGGCGGTGAGTGAAGCGGTCCAAGAGCATCCATCACAATGTGGCGAGACTGATAGTTCGCCTCTGCTGACCCCTGTGGATGAAGGGTTGAGGATGCTGGTGGCCACTGAGCATCCATAGTCATCGTGGTAAAGACAGGGTTGGATGAAGGCCAGACAAGAAACTGGAGAGCTGCAGTTGCCAGGTTCTCACTCTGTTTTTAATGTTGGGAAGCTGTGCCATCTAGTTTCCTGGGGAAGGAAGGGAGAATAGGATGTGGCTTATAAATAAGGTGAGTTAAGCTAATACATGGAGATGAGTTAGTTGCTGCTCAGGAGTGAGAATCCAAGCTCATCATTTAAAGCTAAAGGAGAAAAAAAAATCAGAAAACCTTTCCTCAACTTTGAGATTTCCGATTTCTTTTTTCCCTTTCTCACCATATTTTCCCAACTTTTCTCCATTACACAAGCCACAGCAGGAAGGTGGAACTCTACCCTCACTTCTAATCCAAAAGCTGAAATATTAACTCTGCTTTTCTGTCCACAAATGTAGCCAGACCTGCTGAGTATTCCCAGAATTTTCACAGTTTCCAAATTATCTATCTATAGTATATTCCCAAATACATTTTTGTGGGACATGGCTAATGACGGGTAAGGAGGATTGATTTTGACTGTTTTGTCACATTTTAGATAAGTAGCTCATATACTTAATTTTACACTTAGGGATTTTGTGACTACTGAGATGTTTTCAAAATTCCTTGTCAGCAGACTCCATTTGCATTATTATTTAAAATATTAAATTGCTCAATCATCAAGGGCTTGCAACAGGATATATATTTCTCTATTCTTTACTTACTTACTACAAGTGTTAATACATTAATAAAAATAGGTTAGGAAAGAGAGGGGAGCTTCAGACAACGTTAGTATTCCTCAAATTTTGGTTCACCATTTTCAAAACTGATCTCCGAGTTATGGCAAGTTGCTCACAATTTATGTGAGCAGTTGATTTTTCAATTTTAATTGCCTTGGGGGAAATACAGAAAAATAGAAAAGGGAATATATTTCCAAGTCAGGACGGTGAGTGGCTTGGAGGGGAACTTGAAGTTGCTGGTGTTCCCGTGTAGCTGCTGCCCTTGTCCTTCTGAACGGCAGTGGGTATGGATTTGGAAAGTGCTGTCTCACGATCATTGGTCAATTTCTGCAGTCCATCTTGTAGATGGAGATAGTGTGTCCTGCTTCCAGTAAGCATTGATGGTGGAGTGACTGAATATTTGTGCTTGTTGTGCCAATCAATCAATCAGGCTGCTGGGTCTTTAATGATTTCTAGTCAATGGTAACCCCCAGGATGTTAATAGCGGAGGTTCATTGATGGTAATAAAATTCATTGATTGAGGGCAGCACGGTGGCTCAGTAGTTAGCACTGCTGCCTCGCAGCGCCAGAGACCCGGGTTCAATTCCAGCCTCGGGCGACCGCCTGCGTGGAGTTTGCCCATTCTCCCTGTATCTGCGTTGGTTTCCGCTGGGTGCTTCAGTTTCCTCCCACAATCCAAAGATGTGCAGGTTAGGTGGATTGGCCATGCTAAATTGCCCATAGTGTCCAGAGATGTGTAGGTTAGGTGGATTAGCCATGAGAAACGTAGGGTTACAAGATAGGGGGTGAATCGATGTGGACTTGTTGGGCTGAATGGCTTGTTTCCACACTGTATGGATTCTATGATTCTAATGCAATAGAACATTAACAGGCAAGGATTAGGCTCTCTCTTGTTAGTGATATCATTGACTGGCACAAATATACTTGATACTATCAGCCCAAACCTGGATGTTGTTCATGTCCAGCTGCACAAGAACATGGACTGCTTCTGTATCTCAGGAGGTGTGAATGGTGCTGAACATCATGTAATTGTCAGTGAACATCCCCATATCTGACCTTATGATGGAGGGAAGGTCATTAATAAAGCAGTTGAAGATGGTTGGGCATAGGATAATATCTTGCAGAGATGTCCTGGAGCTGAGATGATTGATCTCCAACAAACAACCATCTTTCTATGTGCCAGGTATGACACCTATCATTTAATTTTTTTTTTCTTTAAAATCAGTCACTCTTCAAAAACAAGAAATGTATGAATTTCTCCAGTCAGATGTTCTAAAGTGTACTCACAGATGAAACTCCGCTGACCCACATAATAGTCGCTCTCCTGTTTGTGGCAGGGACGTTCCTTAGTAGGTAGATAACTTCCTCAAAATACACCAGATTTGCAATTAAAGTCATTAGAGTGAGAACACTGTACAGAATGATAGCAGGCACACTTAAATCTGTGGAAAGAAACATAACCATTATTGAAATGAGCTGTTTTCATTACCACCTTGACAACATTTTTTGTAATTATTAGTAATATATATTGTGTGTATATATTTGAATAAATTCTTAGTAGTGGGTCGGGAGGTGAATAATTAACAGTGGTGTTTTTAAACTTTTATATTATAACTTCTACACATTATGATCTATGATCATTACACAAGTCTATGGAACTGATGTCGTGTATACCTAGCATCATAACAACACAAATTCAAATGGCAAATTATATCAAACAGCACATCCCTTAGGCTATACACAATAAGCAAGGTACTGACTATACCTAATCAGCCACTCTTGGAAATCTCATAGTATAATAATCAATAGTAGTTGTGATCTGTGATTGGACAGCATTTGCTAAATAATTCTGAAAGTGTGAAGAATTACACTGACAACCAACTTAGGATTCACAGTGTGGTGCACTTGCACGTGCTAGAAGCTACATGAGCTACAGGGCTCATGCTACACTGAGCTTGGTAGTTAACTGACAGTCATCATTAACTGGTATGTTCTCCTTCGTAACATTTCTACCCAAGACAGTCCACTTGCCAACCAATCAGCCCTCTTCTCTCAAACAGTATAAATGTCGTTTGCCCTTTACTTTGGCATTTCTTGCAAATTATCCCATCAATTGTATGACTTATAATCCTTAGGCCCAGGCCATTGCTCTAGGGGAATAAAAACAGAAAATGCTAGAGAAATGTCTGGCAGTATCAGTGGAGGGAGAAAGAAAGTTAATGCTTTGAGTCCAGTATGACTCTTTTTCAGAACATTACAGGTATAAAATGGTAAAAAATCAGTCTGCTCTACAGGAAGAAAAGCTAACAAGTAACAAACAAGTCACAAACAAGCTAAGACGGCTTGGTAGGTTGTCATCAAAATGAAGGACAGAGGTCATGCTTTAAAGTTGTTGAACTCAATGTTGAGTTCTGGAGGCTGTAAAGCACTTGAATAGAAAATGGAATGTTGTTTCTCCAATGACTTCATTGGAACACTGCAGCAGACTCAAGACAGAAATGTTACCATGAGCGCAAGACAGTTTATTGAAATGGCAAGTAATTGGAAGGTCAGGAATTGGAAGTCCAATGGACAGAAGTGGATGTGTACTGCAAAGCAGTCACCCAATCTACATTTGGTCTCTCCAATGCAAAAGAAAACCATATTGTGAGCAGTGAATACAGTAGATAATGAAATAACTCACAGAGGCCAGTAGTCCATCACCAAGTCACCCTTTATTTACACATGCATAGTATTTGACACTGGTCCGGCTTCCTCAAAGCCAGGTCTCAGAGTAACCAGAATCTCTGGCACTCCTATTTATATCTGTCATCCAGGTCTCCCTGATTGTACCAGATTAACAGCCCCAACCAGGGAATTTATATTCTATGAGGTCCACTTGGCTGACCTCATTACAATCATCACAAACAAGATTATAAAAACTACAAGTAAAAAGTTGCTTCATCTGGAAGGGGGAGTGAGGAGGGAGGAGGTGGAAGGTCAAGTGTTACACTTTCTGTGATTGCATGGGAAGGTACCATGGAGGAGTGAGAAGAGTTAGGAGTGTTGGAGCAGTGGACCAGGTTATTTGAGGTAAATTTAAGAGGTGGGAGGTTCTAGTGGCTATCAGTGGATAGCCTACCTTTAGAAATGGAAACAGAGAAGTCAAAGGAAGGGAAGAGTCAGAAAGATGGAAATCAGAAACAAAACTGTTTTTCCAATTATAGGCAAGAGCAATGACTTCATCAATGTATCAGAGAAAGAGCTGTAGATAGGGGCCCTGAATAGGACTGGAACGAGGAATATTCCACATATCCAATAAATAGACATAGCTGGCACCCCTGCGGATACTCATAGATGCACCTTTGACTTAGAAAAAGAGAGACAAATTAAAGGAGAACTTATCCAAAGGGAGAACAAGCTCAGCCAGGAGAAGGATGGCAGTGGATGGAGATTTTGCAAGGTCTGCTCAAGGATGAAGCAGAGTATTCAGACCTTTCAGAGGGTCTAGTGAATACAATGGTACGAGGTGAGATTAGGGGAAGGCATAGAGTTGGAGAGAAGGAAGAATCCAGATGGGCATTGTTATCTGTGCTTTTTGGAGCTTGTGTACCTTAACACCTGAGAGGAAGAGGAAATGTTTCTTGTTAAAGTGTTGGTTGAGACAAGAACGACCGAGAACTGGGAAGGATTTGAGATAGCGTGACCTGGTGCTGATGGAAAGAGAAGTCCAGACTCTGCATGGATTGTGAATCTTAGTATGTGGTAGGAACAGCTTTGGGGACATGGGTTCAAATCTGACCAAGGCATCTGATTATCTGTAGAAATGGTCATCAGCAAACTGAGTGAACATTCAAATGAGAGAGAGTAGCAGTTCAAGAAGGCAGCTCACCATCACCTTCTCAAGGGTAATTAAAGACGGGAAGTAAATTCTGGCTAGCCAGAGATGCTCACATCATGTAAGAATATAAAAAATGCACTTCTACCTCCTGAGAAAATGGTTGATAAATTACTGACAAGTTAAAAATAGCCTTCAGGTGGAATATAACCAATCCAACTGTATTTGCTCTTAAAAGCAGACACGCATGGTTTTGATAAACTTGTAATAAATAATGTGCACCGTGGGGAGATGGAGGAAAAGCTGTTTGTATATCAAAAACAATCAGAACAGAATTGCTTGGAAAATTCCTTTGCTTGAAAAAGGATCACTGAGAGAAGAAAAGGAGTTTAGAAAGACTTTGAAAAGGACTTACTGCAGTGGAAAGAAACAAAGCTACAATGTAATCAAGTATGATCCTTGTAAACTGGACTGTTAAGGTTTGTAATGAGAATCAATATGCTATGATTATGTTTCTGACTCACTGAAACCTTAAGGTGCCATGATAAGAACACCCCACCCCACCCCCAATTCTAAACTAAATTCAAATCCTTTTAGCCACAGATGCACTTTTTTAACTCCAGGCTAAGTCATGCTGACTTCCAATTCCTTCCATCCACTTTCTTACAGATCTAAATTTCTTAAGGTGGCCAACTTAACATAGTTAGTGACTTTGTTACATAACACTGCTCAGTCTTAACCGAGATCCAACTAAGAGTACTTTTTACGTTCCTTACTCTGAAACACTCTCCTAGCAGTTCTGTAATCCATTATTTTAGCATTTTTAATGATAAGATTCTCTGCTGCATTCTAATTCTTGCAAGGATGTGGCCTAATATGTTATATCAACATCTATAATAATGTTGATGTAATGAGCAAGCTCCATTTCATATTCTCCATTTTTACGAAAATGGGCTGCTCAATGTGTTTGGGTCTGAATTTCAACACCATAGTACTGTTATTCGCTTCCAGTGACAATAAAAAAAAAGACCTAATGCCGTTTTCCTGTGCTATGCTATACTATCAGCAGTTTCTGGTGTGGTGCATGCCATAGAGAAGGTTGCAGACATTAGTGTCCCCAGTGTATGTTAGAAGGCCTTGATGCAGGAAGTCCTGACTTTGCCCAGCCCAACCAACTACTGTCAGGTTGCCAAATACGGTCCTCAGGGACAGGGAAAAGGAGGAGCGGTCTCCTTTTAATAAAGATGGAGAAATGAGCAGAGAGAGAAGACTTAACTCAGAAAATCAGGAAGAGGAACTACTTTGGGTGGAGCTAAGTAAAAAGCAAGGGATAGAAAGCATTGTTGGAAGTTGTTTATAGGTTCTCTAGCAGTAGTTGTAGTGTAGGGCAAAGAATTAACCAGGAAACTTGAGGTGTAACTAACAACAATAATAAGGAGTTTAAACTATATGTAGACTGAAAAAAAACTAAAAGTTACAGTAGTAGCATGGAGAATAAGTTCACGGGACTCATACAATACAGTTTTCTAGATCAATATGTCAAGGGATCAAGTAGTTAATCCAATGGTGTGCAGTGAGAAAGGGATAATTGATAAATTAATGGTAAAGGACATTTAGCAAAGAATACCACAATATGAGTAAATGTTATTTTGAGTTCGGACACAATTTAGTATATCCCATTATCTTGGACGGAGAAGAAGGGTCTCGACCCGAAACGTCAGCTTTCCTGCTCCTCTGATGCTGCTTGGCCTGCTATGTTCATCCAGCTCTGCACCTTGTTATCACATAGGTAAGAGGAATGTGTTGGGTAAGATAGATTGGGAAACTGCACTAAAAGTTATGATGGTAGACAAGTAATGGTTAGTATTTAAAGAACTTATTCATAATTTGTAACAAATATACGTTCATTTAAGGTGCAAAGGTCCCACAGATAAATGTTGCCCAACCATTGCTAACAGGAGGATTGATAGGATTAGTTCAAAAGGAAGAGACTTATAATTTTAGCAAAAAAGTAGTGCACTTGAGGGATAAGACAATTTTCAAATTCAGCAAAGGAGGATCAAGAACTTGATGAGATAAAAAGTCAGTAGACCAGCAAGAGAAATAAATATTTGCAAATGCTTCCATAAATAACGGTTGGGCAGAAATTAGCGAAAGTAAATGTTATGATGTGTTATGGCTGTAGAATGCATGAACTTCTAAATGCTGGTGTGATTGAAGACAATTATCTCTCAAGTAAATGTCTGTGGATTAAGAAGCTTCAGCACAGAGTCACTGAGTTAGAGGCTGAGCTATAGCCACAATGCCAGGAAAAGAGCAACTGTGGTGAGAATTGGTCCTCTAGGGTGACAGTCTGGGAAATTAATAATGGAAAATAAGGAAATGGTGGATGAAGTGAACAGATATTTTGCATGTGTCTTCAGAGCAGAAGACAAAAATAATGTAGCAGAAATAATTGTAAATAAAGAGGTGAAAGGGATGGAGAACTTAAAACAATTAAAATCAACAGGGGAAAGATGGTGAGAAAATTATTGGAACCAAAGGCTGACAGGGAAGATAGTGGCATCATGGTAATATCACTGTTAGTAATCCGGAAGTCCAGGCTCGAGGGCCAGAGGTTCAAAT